AGGCCTGACAGAGGCCATGAGGTGGCTGTCCTGGTGATGGTTGAAGTGGCGTCTCGACATAAGGGGATGCCTAGGAAGCTGCAGAAGAAGAAACCTGAGTGGTGGATTTCACCCAAATAAGGAGAAATGTGGCTTTCCTCCAACTTTTGATCAATAACCTGTTTATCAAACATAAGGAAAAGCATTACCTGTTTTTTTTCCCAGGAGTTACAAGTATTATACTATAGTAGTGATACTTTATTCACCATCTCCTGCTTGCATATTTCTGAATACATCTTAGCCCTGCAAACCCTGTTAATGGACGATGCTGTAGACAGTGGCAGGAAGGTTCCTAAAGCACTCTTTGCAGACCACCCTGTGTAATGCTCCACTCGTCAAACAGAAAAGATATGCTGATGTGCTCTTGAGCCAGCCACACCTTCTGCTGATGGATCATTACCTGGGCACTATCTAACAGTGTAGCTTCAGTCGATGCTGGAACGTTGCGTGACAACAGTCAGTGAACCCCAACTTGTGCTTCGGTCAACAGTGTTGGGAAGGTTACTTTTAAAATGTATTCCACTACAGATTACAGATTACATGCTCCAAAATGTATTTTGTAACGTATTCCGTTACGTTACTCAAATGAGAGTAACGTATTTCAAATACTTTGGATTACTTAATATATTATCATGCTTTTTACAACTACATGAATGTGATTTATTACTATTACTGAAGGCTACTCTCCACACCAACACCAACTAGATGTTTAAATCTTAATATAAATGAGTAACAGTAGGTGCACATTAGGTAAGGCTGCACTTTTTGCAGCGATCTCGTATAGAAAACTATTCCTCGCCTTATAGAACATCACATCAGTTACAATGATGATGTAATTTATAGTTTACAAATGACAAAATGTTTACACAAAATCATGACAGTGTTTACATGATATCACCCACTACTAACATTACTTTATTTACTGTATCTTTTGAAAAAATACAGCAATTTTAACAACACAATACTTAGGAATATTTAACAGGAGCAGGTTTCATTTTTCCCTGGTTTTATTATCACACTGTTCACCAAACGCAGCAAACCTTCACCGTCTTATCCAGGAGGGTCACCTCTTCACCCTCACATGGAAGAAGTAATCTGATTGGCATGGTGGTATGTTTGAAGCAGGTCCCTTGTGTAGCGCTGGAACCCAGTCACAATGTTTCATCCATTTCATCGGCTGGTTTGCTGCAATAATGCCAAATAATTAGCAAGTCTATAAATAGAAGGTAGTTCTGCAAAATCAGTCAGTAGGATGTTTGTTCTAATTTGCTATGAGCTCAGAGCGCATTGAAAATAAAACTAATAGGCTATAAAGATATGAACATATTTAGAACTTACCGGAATGAAAATGTCCGGAGCACCAACAGATATTTGGAGATGGAAGAGAACTGCACGTCAGCTCGTCTCACAGCTGCTCTCCAGGCTAGACGCCTTCGTTTGGTAACATCGATACACGAGCTGCGTCATGTTGCTTCCGGGTTGGGAAAGAATGAAAAGATAAACCCTTTTCAGGCTTATTCTCTTGCCGGTCGTATGATCGAGCATTGCAGCCGACCACACAGCAAGAACGAACCATGGCTGTTGTGTGTGCCTTCGCTCCCTCTTCACTTGCGCTAGACCCCCAAAATGGCGGATCGGGCCAAAATCCTTTCCACGCCCACCCCCGTGACATCACGCTCCAAAGCCCTATAAAACAGGTCTGCGGCTCCGAACCGTAGTAAAGGGACCTCTGGCTGATACGTCGGGTTCGTGTTGAGCTCGTAGCTGAAAACTAGCTTTACTTTGTTGTCTGGGTCGACTTTGCTAGTGGGAGACAGAGAGAGGCGTTGAAAGGCTGCTGCAACAGAGCTTATTGTTTCGGAGGAAAACAAGAACACAGTGTACAGTCGCGTCTTAACAGCTTACTTACAGCTGGGCTCGTCAGGCTGCAGTGGTTATTATTATATTTACATGCTTCCAGCTCCCGTTTCTGCTCGGTGACAGCTCGTACTTTTCCTTTTTCTCCCTCCTCGCTCACAGACACATCACAGGTATGGCCGTCCATTCTCCCTGCAGCACGGACTACACTGCCCATCAGGCTGCATGCTTTAGGGCGATGCCTGTAACACTCTCTTATTGCCTTCATATTTAATAATTTGTTTAAATATTTCTTCACGTCATTATGATTAGATCCTCTTATTGCGTGTTTGTTTGGGTTTCCAATGGCGTGGAATTACCAAAAATAGAGAGAGCATAGCCTAACATATCAAACAGGAAAATACCGCTGTGTAATCCATTTATTTCAACAAAGTAACTGCATTCTGAATACTCAGTTACTCATGATTTGTATTTTAAATACGTAACACTGGTACATGTATTCCGTTACTCCCTAACACTGTTGGTGAATCACCATTTCATCATGGTGAAAATAACATTTTTGGCAAGTAGTGAAACTAACGACTGTGTCTTGTGTCTTATGTTCAGGAAACCGTGGGGCCAGCACGTGAGGAGAGTCAAGTGGTGTTTTGTAAATATTGGTGTGGGATTTGAGGAAGTTGGAATTCACTGTGAGTCACAAGGATCACGTTTTTGGAACTGTTTTTCACTGTGCATCAATTCACTGTAAATAAATCCCATCTGCCTGAACAGTACCACTGTCACCATCGTGGTGAAGCGAGAGCTGAGCATAAAAGTGAAGCTTCTGATTTACCGGTCGATCGATATCCCTACCCTCACCTATGGTCACAAGCTTTGGGTAGTGACCCAAAGAACACGATCCCAGCTACAAGCAGCAGAAATGACCAGAAATGCTTCTCTGCTTAGGCTGCTGCCTCTGCGACCTGGCCCTGGATAAGTGGAAGAAACATGGATGGATGGATGGAATGGATAGGTTATTGGACTTCATGGCAGGTCCATGTTTTGGCCGACTGCTTCTCCTCTGCTTGAGATGAGAGAGGGGAACACTCATTCACCAGTCTGCTCATCGGTCTGCTCTTTGCTACTGCAACCCTGCACTGCCATACCTGCTACCAGCTCACCAGCCTCCACACGTGCCAGCTCTTCTCCATTGCTGCAGCCTACGTCCCACGCCGCTCAGCTCTTGACTTTTGATATCCCCAGTGAACCCTTAGTTCCCTGTATTCCCAGCGAACCCAGAGCCTTCAGTGACTTCAGTGCCAACAAACCCACAACCTGTAAGGCCTCTTGTACTTGCAAGATCCCAAGCTCTTGGTTCCTCACTGTCTGAGGGTCCTTACTGCGAATAGGTCCCAGAGCCTGTGGGTCATAGTCCAGCTGAACCTGAGCCAGAGGGGTCCCTGTGTCACTGACCTCCAGTGGCTCTCCAGTGCCATCCCTGTCAGCATTAGTAGGTCCCCGCTGACACCGAGTGCCTGCTCAGCCACAGGAGGATCAACAACATTCAGCAAAGCGATGGGAGCTTGTTTTCTCTGCCTCTGGCCTCCCGGGTCAGCACCCAGAGTTGCTCTGTCTCCACCGCTGACCTCTCAGCTGGACTTGTGCTAAATTTGCTGTTAGTCTAAAAGCTAGCCCCCACAAGGCCCCAAATCTCCCAAATCCATTCTGGGTTCTAGTTCCACCAAAGAGGGGCCTTAAAGCTGAAGCCTCTGCCTCCCATTCTACTTTTAAATATCATAGAAACCACGAGTAAAGTTTAAGTCTGAGAGCAAAGTGCTCTTTTGGGGTGATATTGTACTATGAGGTTAAGATAAGATTAGCCCTGATCATGAAACACCTTGTATGGGAGGAGAAGGGTTTTAAATCGGATTCTGGATTAAACAGGGAGCCAATGAAGAGAAGCCAGAAGAGAAATATGCTCTTTATTTCTAGTCCCTGTCAGGACTCTTTCTGCAGCATCTTGTATCAGCTGAAGGCTTTTAGGACATCCTGAAAATAATGAATTACAGCAGTTCAGCCTGAAAGTAATAAATGCATGAACTAGTTTTTCAACATCATTTTAAGACAGGATATTTCTAATTTTAGAGATGCTGTATAAATGGAAATAAGAACTCCTACATATTTGTTTAATATGCACAATGAAGGACATGTCCTGGTCAAAAACAAAACCAAGGTTCCTCACAGCGTTGCTGGAGGCTGAGGTAATTCCATCCATTGTAAGCATCTGGTTAGACACCATGTTTCTAAACATTTTAGGGCTGAGCACAATAACCTCAGTTTGATCCAGATTTAGAAGCAGGACATTAGAGGTCATCCAGGTCTTTATGCCTTTGAGGTTCCCTCAGAGGCATAAACTAAATGGTGTGATTTCTGGCTTCATGGACAGATAAAGCTCGGCATCATCTGCATAACAGTGAAAATACATGCTGTGCCTTCTAATAATACTGCCTGAGGGAAACATTTATAATGCAAACAGAATTGGTCTTAGCGTGAAACTGTGTGGTTTCTAAAATTAAATTTAGTATGTAAAGTGCGCTCTGCATGTAAAAACATTTATGTGAACAAATTGGAGACTATTAGAAAGATATGATTTAATCTACTGCTGATCAATGCCTTTAATACCTACAGCATGATCTAATCTCTGTAATAAAATATTATTGATCAATATCAAATGCACACTGAGGTCTAGCAGGACAAGCACAGAGATGAGTCCACTGTCAGAGGCCATAAGAAGATCATTTATAAGCTTCACTAAAGCTGTTTCTGTGCTGTGATGAGCTCTGAAACCTTCAAGCTTAAATTGGGTGCTCTCTGTGTTTAAGAAGCAATTTGAATGATGAAAGCTGAGAGGGACACACTCAGGCAAAGCGTTGTTGTTTTCTGGTTTTGCTGTATTGGCCTTCTGCTTTGAGACATCCGTGTCTCATCGTTCATGTTTGTTTAGCAAACAGTGTCTAAGCTTAGTGCCCATATAAGGAAGTTGAAAACATGCATGCGAGATGAAACTGACAGATCACAATCGTTTCACTTCCACTCTAAGTTCCTACCCTGAAATGTATCAGCAGAAACAGCTGCCATCGTACTGTGCTGCCTTTTCTTAGCACGCTAAACCTGTGTAAGTAATCATGTTTCTCTCAGTGCACTAATGATCCTACAGATGCAACAAGTGACCTACCATGTGACTCACTGCACTCCTCACGCCTCCTGTAGCTCTTTATCAGTATATAAAAACCCTGCAAAAGATTCTGGGATTACTCTTAAGAATTGTATGTGAAGAAGTGTGTGGTTCGCTGTGTGGTTCGGCTTTTAGAAATGTGAGGAAACCTAACCCTGTCATTTAACTTAATTACTGTATTAATATCATTTGGCAGTAAAGTGCTTAATATCTACACTTTTACATCTGCCTTCTAATAAAGCAGCCTTTATTTGGTTTGTTAGTTGGAACTCATTGGATTATTAAGCGAGTGGGCTGACTCTCGTGTAGAAGCTAGAGAAGGTCATCCACTAATGGTGGTCTGAGCGGTGGCTGCTGCAGTCTGTATGCCAAAGTATCCCTGGGCAAGATATCAAACCCTCAGTTCAGTTTATTGCCCACTCTGACAAACCTAGTGTGCTGCTCAAGAGTGTGAAAGGTAAATATGATGGTTGTTGCTTTTCTACTCGAGTGCTGTGCATAACAACTACAGCACAGTTATAGTTAAACAGCATTGTGATTTCCTTTTATTAATTCATTTAGTTTTTGTATCGATATCGCCATGTCTGTGCATACATATGTGTGTGAAGGTATTGATTCGAAAAGTCAAGTAACAGTTGCTCAGCTGAATGTCTGAACGGAAGTATGGTACGTTGTTGCACCTCTCTGTGGTTGCTGCTAGAGAAGTTCTTGTGATACAATGCTTCCTGTTTGTGAAGCAGGAAGAAGAACGTGAACACTCGAAGACGAGCAAGGCTTTCGCTCAGGCAGACATTGTGCTGTGCAGCGACAACAGTCGAGATACAGGACGGAGGCAAGGTACTGTTACCTATTATTTATCCACATAAATGCAACTATAGAACAATCTGACAATGCAATTGTTCCAAAAATGTTACAGCAAACTCAGCCTGGTACTGCGGCGATTAGCATTTAATCAGAAAGTAAAAGACTGTTCATTTCCTTTTCAGTACAGGATTTGTCTTTCTCTGTATAGTTTGCCATACAGGATAAATACATCACAAAACACACACAACATCCACACACCCATAAGCACCAAACAAAAAGAAAAGGTGTGACTTTATCCAGGGCAGCAGCAGTGCTCCTAATAACAGGTTGGAGCTGTACTAAAATTGTCAGTGTTTGTCAGCTCCTTTCATTCTTCAAGGAAGAATATCAAATGAAAGGAAAAAGATGAATCCTTGGACCCTGGTGTCCTTTTCTGTTCACTGCTTAGCTGTCAAAAAGTGTAATAATAACAAAGCAAAAGAGGAATGATGATACGTGGGTATACAGCTTGGAAAAAATTAGTCTTAACAGCATCATACATACTTTCCTGATGACATCACACAATGTCAAAGATGTCAAGTAAGGTTGGTTGTAAACACTTATGTACTCTATCAGTTCTGCTTGACACAAATCATGAGAATTAGTGAGAATCATTAGAATCACCTAATAATCACACAGCGATCATCATATTAGACAAAGCATTTCAGTAGAGCTGGACAATATGGACAAAATATTACCACAACATTGTTTTTCTGCATTGCATAAATTCATATTAGTATTCTAAGCTAGCATCTCTCTGGTTTGATACAAACTGAAAGAACATGTTACGTTAACATTTTTAATAACTAATAAGATTTATTTTCAACAACTGACACAAACCAAATACACAATTCTCTTAAGTATTGTTATTTGTATACATGTTTTAAAAATACACTCAAATTAACTGGCAATCAAACAATGTGCAGCATTGTTAATCAGTGCTGCACTGTACTGAGTACTGATCTGCATTGTTTTATCAAGTCAAGTCAGGCCAAGTGGCTTTACTGTCATTTCAACCATGTGCAGTGGTACAATACAGAGTGAATCGAGACAACGTTCCCCCACAACCATGGTGATAAAATGTGTAGGACCAGCATTGTTTTGTGTTTGTGCAAGAATAAAACAACGCAAATCCAGGAATGGCTGATTACTAGATGCAATTTCTTTTCTATCTCGTATATTTCTTCAAATAAAAATATGAGGTAGGCAGTAATTCAGTCTAACAAATACATTTTCTCAAAATGTAGATGTGTTTTGAAAAAAACTACAGTTTAACAGTGAAAATATGTCATAATATTAACAAAAATGTGTAATGATGTGTGCTTATTTTATCCCTGAGATAATGAAGAGAGAGATTCCTGGTCAGTCTGAGATGCCATATTTGTTTTCATTTACATGCTGAAATACAGAACAGAACTCTGCTGTCTTGGCTTATATAGTCTGTGTGTACCGTGTGTGTGTGGGTGAGGTGTGTGTTTCTGTGTGTGACTATATTTCACTGTGTGTGTGGATAGGTGGGTAAGAAAACCGCCTTGGTATTTTTGAAGGTGGTGAAAGTGGTTTGTCATGTTAGCGGACTTTATAAGGACCTGTCAGTGTAGATTTCCCTGCAAACTGGTTTTATCTGGTGGCTGTAGCTCAGTAGGTTGCTGGTTTGATCCCGGCTGCATGCCAAAGAACCTTGGCCAAGATACTAACCCCTGTTGCTCTCTGATACGTCTTCTGGAGTATGAGTGTAAATGTAAAAGACTTTGTGAGAATGAGGTGAATAAAGTGGGATTTATGATCCTACAAATGTGTCTGTCCGTATATGCTTTTTGATTGGGGGAGAGAGGTTTTCACCCACGTGAGACACATGGTGGGACTAAGGACAGAGTCTGTCTGATAGGGGCCACTGTATGGGGCCAGTTTTTTGGAAAAAAGACTATCTAAAGTATCTTTAAAGTGCCTTTAACAGATAACCACACTCTCTAACTTTGAGTATAATGTGAAATTAGGGAGCTTTTGTAATGTCTGTGAACGTTCTCAGAGCAATTGGTGGACAGTCCCAGATTTTAAGACCTATTGGGAGTGTCCAAGCCATGCTCTAAATAGTGTCCTTAAGAGGGATGGGTCCAGGACTATCTTAGGGACACTCTCAATAGGGCTGAAAATCTGGGACTGTCCACTAATTGCTTGGAACTGAAGAAGCTTCCGAGATGAGAGGTGAAATGTTTTTAGATGCTTCCAAAACATTTGACAGAGTTAATCAACTGAAGATGTTCGTTAAATTGCAAAGCAGAGGGGTCCCTGCATATCAAATGGATAAAGGATTTTACACTTTTGGTATTTACATCAAACTATGCAAGTTAATTTGGGTACAGAGGTATCTGAACCTTTTTCTGTATCTACAGAAGTCAGACAAGATGGATTATTGTATTTGTATGTTGGTGATCTTGATGATCTTTCTGTCAAGTTAAATGATTGTACGACTGATTGTATGGTGGGCAACCTTATTAATCATTTAATGTACGTTGATGATGTGGTCATTTTGTCCCACCACAGTGCTGATTACTTAAGAGTTTGTGCTAGTTATGGTGCCCAGTATGATATTGTGCTTAACCCTAAAAAAAAAAAAAAAAAAAAAAAAAAGTGTTATTGTGATTGCTACAACTAAGAAGCATAAGACCAACTCCCTAAGGCTTCCCTGTACCAGTGTGAGGCTGTTGCCTTGAAACTGTGTAAAACATCCTGCAAAAATGGTCCCAACAAGGGCCCAACAGACTTAATAAGGAAGTCTGTTAGGAAGCACTTTTGTGTTCTTCCCTCCTTATTATTTTACACAGGTGTACCAAATTTCATTCTTGTAGCTTATGCTGTGTTTCCTTAGGACTTTCTAAATGCATAAGGTGCCATTTTGAAACTCTTATGTATGAAACCAATAAAATATGTCATATATGGCATATCAATCCGGATTCTCATCATGTCTGTCAAGTCTGCTGGAGTTTGCAGAATCTGTCACTGAGTTACAGCAGACTCGTTTTAAGTGATCGTAATTTGGTGTGCTGCCATGACAATGTCCTTTCACAAAAACCTCAAAAGCTTTGCATTCCAGCCATTCCGTTCACTGAAGATCACGCTGATCTGATGAAATCCCTACAAGGAGTTTGTTAAAGTACGAGGTCCAGAAATGGCGAGATATGTAGCCAAAATTAGTCAGCAGACTCAACATGGCTGACTTCCTGTTGGGTTCTAAGAGATTCTATGAGATGGCTCTAAGAGACTGTTTTTTATATGAGGCTGTCAAATTTCAGATTTATAGATTAAACATAGTGCAGGGGCTGCTTTTTTGTTTTGTTTTTTAAATGTTGTAATTGTTTGTAATTTTGCAGTTTTGTCACTTTCTAACCAAAATTCACTGAACCAGCAGCAAAAGAAGACCAAGACTGCACTTCATGTTACTTTGCAGTTTTGCTTCCACCAGAATAAAATCCCATTTCCTGCACAGCTCTATCTCTCGGTGTACGTTGAGGCCAGTTTCCCATGCTTATTATGCACTGGTCTGCTGTTGTGTACAGTGCTGTCGGCCGCTGTTTTTGTTTTGTTTGTTTGTTTTTTCCCTAAAAACCACCTCTGACAAGAAAACCTAATTCCTGCTGTTCACTATGGGAAAAATATCTACTTTCACAAATTATAGCAAATTGCAAATCCTAAGCTATGTCTCCAATAAAACCTCTGTAACTTTCTGTTTTCACTTTCTACTATAGAAATTTCATGTTTCTTACAACAGTTAAAAAACAGAAAAAGAAGAAGTTCAAAGATTCGTGCTGACAGATTTCTTTATTTACCACAGCAGCTTTTTCTTTATTATGTAGAAAAGCAGTTAAATATGTAACTTCGTTAGATTGGTCAGGCCCACTTGAGAGCAAAGTGTGGTGTATGTAGCCCATAATGTAAAATTAGTTTGACACCCCTGAACTAGATATAACAATTCAAATGAAGTCTTACACAATTTGACATTACAGTGTCTACAGAAAAATGCCTTACAAAGAAGTTGACATACCCTAACTCTGATTCCAACCCAAGAGGTCTTTCTTAAGCTGGTGGATTTTAAGATGCATCCACCTTTAAGTTAAAACTATTTAAATTTTGAGTTTGTGACATGAAATGTTTCAAATGCACAATAAATTCTTTTGTTTTTGTCTGTGTCTTGTGTACAGGTAGTTCATCAGCTGTTCACTGCTCACAGCCAAAGAGAAAAACTCTAAAGAGACAGGCCTGTGTTGGTCACCCTATCCAAGAACAGCTTTGGGATCCCTGGGTTCACGAGAACACCTCCTCTGAAAAGCTGCGAGAATCACTACCCACACCTTACAGACAGTAGAGTTACTGTTAATGTACACGGCCTTTCTGCTACAATGAATGACGAAGAGAATGTCCTTGAGGTCGATGACACAGTCGCAATGACTCCTGAAAATAAATCTGAAACTCCTTCAGAACTTAAAAAGGCGCCTCCAGTGGCACCCAAACCTGCCTGGTTTCGCCAGAGTCTGAGGAAAATTAAGGATGAGCAGGACCAGAAGACGCAAGCAAAACCATCAGAGCAAACATCTGCTGCAAGCTTCAGCAGAAACTTTGGCATCAGATCTGCATCATCTGCAACCAACCAATCAATCAAGCAAAGGATTCACTCTTTTGAGACTTTTTCCAGTCCAGAAGCTCCAGAAAAGGGGAGCAACAGAAGACCATTGGCTCCTTCAACAACCCTCTCTCCAGTGGAGAAGGGATCCCGAGCCCCTTGCTCTTCCTATTCTGCCTCAAATGGAGATAATGTGAAGAACAAAACTGAATTTTCCAGAGAGATCCAGTCCAGAGATCCAGCACCTAGTAAGGAGGAAGACAACATACCTGCCTCTGTTGCGCCCTGTGCCATTGCCTCAGCCAGCAATGAAGCTTGTCAACAAACAACAGAAAAGTCCTCTGAAGATGAAACTCATTTTAATCAGTCTACCACTGATTCCATGTATTCTCAGACTATCAACACTGATGTGGAGTCAGGGATAAATGATTATCAGTCTGCTCCAGTGCATGACAGCAGTGAAGCCTTACCCACCAACCTGGAGTCTGAGCTTGTGGATTCTGAGTGTTCTGAAACATCTATGAGATCCAATCAAACTGAAGGTCAAAATAGCTCTGACTGGACAGAGGAGGAAGGAAAGCTGTCAAGGACTGCTCGGAATGCTGCTCCGGCCACAGAGAGTAACACCGTGAGCAACCCAGAGAGTGAAAGCCTGGGGAAAATAATTACCTTCAGTAATCAGGTAATCTCACACATATATTGTGTTTATTTTATATAGTCAAGGCTGAATATTCCCAAACGTGGGAATATTCAGCCTTAACATTTATCAGTACAATATTATTTTGTTCCTCTACCAGCTTCGCTTACATGTGAAAATGGACAGATACACAAATCAACAATCTTTTTGTGGTGTTTGTGAGTAGGAGTGAGTCTCTTTGTATTTTTGTTTGTTACGAAGTGTACTTGATAATGAGGGGTGGGAAGTTATTATAGCGCCCCCCAGGAGCCAGAGGCAGACAGAGAAAGATCCGGGCCATCCATAGCCCCAGGAGTACAGAAGACATAAGACCACACATACTGGCTGTGTGTCCATCCCAGCAGGAAAAGAAGGGAGGCCCCAGATGGGTTACCCACGGCCTAAGAGTGAGAGTCTCAACGAACCACAGGCGACAGGCAGCTGAACCCATCCGAGGCCCAACACCCTGGCACGAACCACCTGGCACTTTCTACAGGACTGGATATAAAACCATTCTGTAAAAGTCCAGAGCCTCTGTGCTTTATCTGAGGATGATGGGAAGTGACTCTACCATCACACAAAGCAAACATCAGTATAAGAGTGCTCCTAAAGTGCTGGGTTTGTTCATCTACAGTAGAGAAGGAGATTTCTCTCTGAGGGAGCCCCTGGTGAAGATTATGATCCTAGTTGATCCCTGGGATGAGCTCGTTTTCCTGATGTTTCTGAAGTGATTCCTCTCAGTGGGTCAATGGAACATCTGACACAGGGCAGGTGTGATTAAAGAAAGGGAGGAAGTTTCTTCAACCTCTGCACCCAACAAACCCAGCTTGGTTGTAATGGTCTCCTTCACTCGTTTTCCTGCAGGGTGAATGTATGTTGTGTATCTGTTTTGTGTGTGCTGCTACACCCCAGCCTAGAGAAAGCCAGAGAGCAACACAAGAAGACATTGCACCTGCTTCCTGGTCCCAGGGGAGGACCAAGGCTGCCACAGAGTTTCCAGTTTTACAACAACCAAATATTTTATTAGTCTGGTGGGCATCACCAAAACAACAAAGAAAAAGCTCTAGAAATAAAACAAAACTAACTTACCCATCACGAGGAATCCAAAAGAAAATCCAGGCCTCTTACCTGTCTCCCTAACCTAAACAGAAGAAGGGGTTTTGAAAGAAAAAGGCTTCCACATAAATCAGCAAAGGTCGATTTACAATCTACAGATTCAAAATATTTGTTGGACTTTCCGATGTAATTCTCTTTGTATGTTTACAGTTTCCCCACAAAAATAACATGATTTTAAATTTGTGTCTGATTTAGTGTGTTTTTGTTACAGGTGTCACAAGCATTGATGTGCTCTTTGACCGTCTGTGGAGGTAATCCTTCCTCCACAAACCTGCAGGACACCTCTTCACTGGACTCCATTAACCAGCAGGAGTCTGATCTAGCCTTGGACACGTCAGACAGAGGATTCTCTTTCAGGTATCACTTCAGTTGAGACATGTGGACATGCAAAATGCACTGCTTTGTTGTTTAACTTTTGTTCTCAGGGAATTTGGCTTAAGTTAACAAATACTCCCAGTTTAATCAAAGAAGGAGTAGTTAATTTTTAAAAACATGTTAAATAGAGCACAGTTCTATACTTGTACCTATGCTTGCGCTCATGGGTACCTGACACTCGTCAGATCTAATGCCTTTCTGTCTCCATAAATACAGCCTGTTCACTTTGAAGGAGTGCATCACTGATCGAGGGGAGGGTGGAGTTCACAACGAGACTGCTTCTGTTTCTGCTTCTGCGCACTCTGTCATCACAGCTATCAATTCACAGGAAATACAGAAGATGATTCAGGAAGTTGAGGCTTTAGATGAAGAAACACTGAAGGTAAAAAAACAAACATGTCGTATATCACAGTTCCATTAATTCACAACATCTTTAGAGACAAGTTGTAAAAACTGTAAGAGATTAACATTTTCAGTTATACATCATGAAGTAACAAAATGAAACTTTAGTAATGGACACAAAAAAAGACTGAAATGAAGTATCTTCCTCCCAATTTTCTGTAATTAAATCCAACCCACCACGGCTTCCTGCTAAACAACAACCGAAAGGAGCAAAATCCTGTGGAGACCGGGGACATCTCCTGCACTGCAAACAACAGAGGGTCTAACCAGTGATCCCATTTGCATACATCCTCGTCAATGAACTTAGGAAAAATGAACTTTAAAGTTTTACTCAGAAATGGTGCGCTCGAGTGCTTGCTCCAAGGGGGTTATTTGATTGATGTTGGGGTTTTCTCTGTATTGGGTCTTTATCTTACAATATAAAGCATCTTGAGGCAACTGCTGTTGTGATTTGGCAGAATATAAATGAAATAGATATATAAGTGAATGCCTGCAAAATAAATTTCATGGCAAATGGTAGAAATCTGCCATGATGCCACGGATATGCCTTTCAACAAAAGCTCAAAAGCATCATAATTTAACATCACCCAAGTATTGGGCCAAATATTAGGCTGGTCTGATATGTGAAAATGTGTGACCACAGGAAATGATAAAATTGGTACTAAAATTTTATCTTTAATTCAAAATGGTGGACTTTATGTTGGGTTTGGGTCATTGCATCCAACCTGCCATATTACACATGTGTATGAAAATTCATTAACATTTACATAACATTAACATTTGCTGCCATGATGCCAGGTCTCTCTTGGAAATGAGATTTTTAATCTCAATGAGATTTTACCTGGATAAATAAAGGACTAATAAACATTGCTCACTGTGTGCTACATGTCTGTAGTACTTTGATAAAGATGTTGTAAGTGGCACTATTGAGCAATTTTGAAATGCCCTTGTCCAAGACCAATAAAGTGCACATATTTTCACCAGACATGTTGAAAGATAGGTTGAGGATTTAACATTTCTCTTGAACAATACGTTTGTTACTTGTGTGCATAAATAAAAAAATATTTTATTTATACAGCGCCAAATCACCACAACAGTCGCCTCAAGGTGCTTTATATTAAGCACGCTTTATACACTCAACAAAAATATAAACGCAACACCTTTGTTACTGCTCCCATTCCCCATGGGATGGACGTAGAGACCTAAAATTCATTCCAGATACACAATATAACCGTCCCTCCCAAACAGTGGTCACAAATCAGTCCAAATGTGTGGTAGTGGGCACATCTGCTATATTGAGATAATCCATCCCACCTCACAGGTGTGCCACATCAGGATGCTGATCTGACATCATGAGTAGTGCACAGGTGTACCTCAGACTGCCCACAACAAAAGGCCACCCTGGAATGTGCAGTTTTTTGCGCTATTGGGGGTCTGGGGACCCAGAACCGGTCAGTATCTGGTGTGACCACCATTTGCCTCATGCAGTGCAACACATCGTCGCATGGAGTCTATCAGATTGTCAATTGTGGCCTGTGGAATGTTGGTCCACTCCACTTCAATGGCTGTGCGAGGTTGTTGGATATTTGTGGGAACTGGTACACGCTGTCGTATACGCCGGTCAAGCACATCCCGAACATGCTCAATGAGTGACATGTCCGGTGAGTATGCTGGCCATGCAAGAACTGGGACATTCTCAGCTGCCATCTGCCCTGAACAATGTGAACCATGATTCATCCGTGAAGCGCACACCTCTCCAACGTGCCAGACGCCATCGAATGTGAGCATTTGCCCACACAAGTCTGTTACGGCGACGAGCTGGAGTCAGGTCAAGACCCCGATGAGGACGACGGGCATGCAGTTGAGCGTCCCTGAGACGGTTTCTGACAGTTTGTGCAGAAATTGTTTGGTTGTGCAAACCAATTGTTCCAGCAGCTGTCTGGGTGGCTGGTCTCAGACGATCTTGGAGGTGAACCTGCTGGATGTGGAGGTCCTGGGCTGGTGTGGTTACACGAGGTCTGCGGTTGTGAGGCCGGTTGGATGTGCTGCCATATTCTCTGAAACGCCTGTGGAGACGGCTTATGGTTGAGAAATGAACATTCAATGCACGGGCGACAGATCTGGTTGACATTCCTGCTGTCAGCATGCCAATTGCACGCTCCCTCATTGCTTGTGGCATCTGTGGCATTTTGCTGTGAGACAAAACTGCACATTCCAGGGTGGCCTTTTGTTGTGGGCAGTCTGAGGTACACCTGTGCACTACTCATGATGTCAGATCAGCATCCTGATGTGGCACACCTGTGAGGTGGGATGGATTATCTCAATATAGCAGATGTGCCCACTACCACACATTTGGACTGATTTGTGACCACTGTTTGGGAGGGATGGTTATATTGTGTATCTGGAATGAATTTTAGGTCTCTACGTCCATCCCATGGGGAATGGGAGCAGTAACAAAGGTGTTGCGTTTATATTTTTGTTGAGTGTATTTAAGACAGACCCCACAATAACACATGCAGAGAAAAACCCAACAATCATATGACCCCCTATGATCAAGCACTGTGGAGACAGTGGGAAGGAAAAACTCCCTTTTAACAGGAAGAAACCTCCGGCAGAATCAGGCTCAGGGAGGGGCGGGGCCATCTGCTGTGATTGGTTGGGGTGAGAGAAGGAAGACAGGATAAAGACATGCTGTGGAAGAGAGACAGAGGTTAATAATAATTATGATTAAATGCAGAGTGGTGTGGGATGAGGGATACTGAAAAATGTTAACAAATTATTCATGATTGATTTTGTTACGCTGTGCAGTTTGTCTTCTGGAGATTTTCTTTACCACACAGTATCATACATGCTCTAAATATTTTTGCAGTGTCGTAGTTTACTGGATTCTGCTATATTGTGTAGGATATTGTAGTTGGTGTTTGGAACAAAATGACAAGGATGGTTATATTTCAAACCTGTTTTGAACCTTTTAAATTGGCCTCTGACAATGTATTATATTATACATATTTTAATATTAAATTATACCCTACAGTGAATCTTAACAACTTTCCTGAAACTAAATATTAAAAAAAAACCCTCAAAATTCAAATAAGCAAGTGCAACATTTCATATGCATAAATATTACATAAATATTTATGTAATAAATATTACATATACACGTCCCTACACACTGCTCCCCGGGCGCCCAATGGCTGCCCACCGCTTCACTGAGTGAATGGGTTAAATGCAGAGAGGAATTTCCCCACGGGGATCAATAAAGTATACATTATTATTATTATTATTATTACATGTAAAAATATTACATTTGAAAAACATGATCCAGAAAATAGAAAAATGTGTGGATTACTGTTGAAAAAATGCCTTAAAAATGGCCGCTCAAGTAAACCTACATCTTTCCACAGCAACTAGTGGACATCCATGTTGTGATTCTTCATAAAGACGAGGGAGCTGGGCTTGGCTTTACCATTGCTGGAGGGTCTGACCTGGAGAACAAAGCTGTTACTGTAAGATACACACTACACATTTATATTACTGAATTCTAATCTATTTTTTCCAAAATGTTATTCTGTCTAATGTGAAATAAAAAGCATTGCAACTGTATTCACTGAAAAGTTGGCATTAGTTTAAAATGCAGTATAAAAATGTGCGATCGAACCCTGTGAATATCCACTGAAAATAATGTTTAAAAGAAAACATGAAACAGTGATTGACAGCAATCACAGCAAATCAGGTCATCGAATTGCAAGCCCACATCAACTGATTGCTCAGCTGATATTCTGCGACATATTCAGTTGGCTTCACCAACAGATATATCCGTCACATCTGTTGGTGATAATGAGCCATACCATCCATCCATTTTCCTCCGTTTATCTGGGCCTGGATCACGTGGGCAGCAGCTTAAGCAGAGAAGTCCAGACCTCCCTCTCCCCAGCCACCTCCTCTAGCTTGTCCAGGGGAACACCAAGGCATTCCCAGGCCAGCAAAAACATGTAATCTCTCCAGTGTCCTGGGTCTGTCCCTGGGCCTCCTCCCGGTGGGACATGCCGAACCACTGTACCCAGGAAGCGCCCAGCAGGTATCCTTGCCAGAAGACTGAACCACCTCCACTGCCTCCTTTCAGTGTGGAAAAGTAGCAGCTCTACTCCCATAGATGCCCCCTGCCAATCTCCTGCTCCCCTCACCCCTCACTCGTGAACAAGACCCTCCTTCACTTGGGCAGCAACTCGTCACTGACCCAAAGTGGGCACTCCACTCTTATCCAATCCAAGGCCTCAGACTTGGAGGTGGTGACACTCTGCTCCGAGCCACTCCAGTGTAAACTGGAGGGAAGCACCTGATGAAGCCAACAGAACCACACCATCTGCAAAAAGCAGAGACGAGACTCTGAGGCCACCCAAGTGGAAGCCTTCCATCACGTGGCTATGCCTAGAAATTCTGCCTGTAAAAATTATAAACAGAATTGGCGACAAAGTGCAACCCTGGCAGAGTCCAACACCCACTAGGAACAAGTTTGAGTTATTACCAGCAGCTGCATAAGAACTGAAAATGCTCATTTAAATTTTGAGTCTAATAAAAAATGTAATGAGGTAGTGAAGCTGTCATTTCAGGCTCTACTTTCTCTGATCCTTAGTGAAGGTAATAAGTGGTGTTGGGACTTCTCCTTATCTTGTAATTCAGCATTAGAAGTTCTTTACTAATAGATTCATGTATTCATATTCAAGTAATCGAGTAAACAAAATCTGTTCATCTGTTTACCAGTACTCCGATACTTACTCCAATCTAGTCAGGATTTGTGTTATCCACAGTGTGTGGGTCAAATCTGGCTTTATTCATTTTTATACCAATCTAACAAAACAACAATAAAACAAATATGAAATCAACTTCTCCCAAACTGTGTTAAGGCTAGTTCTACCTGATCTCTGAATTTGCCGCTGTTTCCTACTTGTGTCTATGTGTCTCACTGATTATCTTGTGTTTAGGTCCACAAAGTGTTTCTCAGTGGCCTGGCAGCTCAAGAGGGCACAATTCAGAAAGGCGATGAGATATTGTCTATAAATGGACAAACACTGTGGGGTGTCACGCACACTGATGCCACCACTGCTCTGCGTCAGGCCCGGAATCTGAAGCTGGCTGTCGTTGTCATCTGCAAGAGAGTCGTGGAGGAGGGAAGAGAGGAAGGAAGCTGTAGGAGCGAAGAGCCAAATCCTGCTGGTCAGTCAGACAACTGGGAATACATTTATTATCCCCAATTTATTTTAGCAGAAATCACACAACCATCAAGCAAAATGCAATACTTCCAAAGAATTGGGGGTCTGTGCAAAATAAATAAAAACAGAATGCAAAGACTGCAAATATCATACACATATGTTTTATTCAAATATTCACAACAGAACACAGAAAACATCAAATGTTTAAACTGAGAAACATTGACAAAATGCAGACATAGCTCTGTAGGTTTGTCCAGGTCAGAATAGACATTTTTATTATAAATACTATGCAGGCTACATATACTCTGTGTCTTTGCTGTCGCAGTGGAGGAATGGGGCGCTCCAATGAGTGTGGAGCTGGAGAAATGTGCTGGTGGTGTTGGCTTTACTCTGGAGGGAGGAAAAGGCTCAATCCATGGAGACAGACCTTTAGTCATCAACAGGATCTTTACAGGTGCGCTCACGAAGCTGGCAGTATTCACAAAAACGTAATCACAAGTGTTTCTTTCGTAGTTTATTTTGGGGAAAAAACGAATTTGATTCCAAAAAAAAGAGCAGTAATCGTAATATTTGGACAGTTATTAAAAAAAATGTCTTTTGGATATTTCAGGGGGAGCGGCAGAGCAGAGTGGTCTGCAGAGTGGAGATGAAGTGTTGCAGGTCCAGGGAATAAGTCTGCAAGACATGACTCGATTTGAGGCATGGAACATGATCAAGGCTTTGCCTGAAGGACCCATCACAGTGGTCCTCAAGAGGAGGCTGGGGGGTGCAGAATGACCGGCACAGCTTATGGGCACTGATTGAAGTAAAAAACAAAAAAACAAAAACAAATACTCCAGGACAAACAAACAAAAACAACAAACAAAAAAACAGCAGCATACAGCAGCCTCAGCAGCAAACAAGGACACAGATGTTGGACTTTTTCTCTTTTTTGTTTTTTAAAAAATCTCATCAGGTTAATAATTCTTTTAGTTTTATACCAAAGACATTGCAATTTTTTTCATTTTTATGCAGTAATTTTGCATCTACTTACTTTGAATTTCAGAAGAAAAGAGTGAAATTTCACAAGCTGTTGCTTTTCAATCTTGTGGCGAGAAAAAGGAAACATCCCACATATGCAAACAAGACTCTAAAACTGTCAAATTGGTTAAAGAAACACACAAAACAATATTTCTCAGAATTAAAGGACAACTGCACATCTCGAGAAATAATACAAAACCCAGTTAATTGGCAAGGGTTTGAACACTGCAAGGTTCGTTTTGCTTTAACTTGCTTGCTTAATGATATTTGTACAGTAAAAGCTTGTAATGTGGCGACAAACAAAACCAATTTGGAATCTGGAGGCAGCTCAACAGCTGCAGGTACCTGTGCCTGCCTACTGCTGCAGTAGCTTGACACTGAATCTTATTATGAGATTCAATTAATTACAGAAATTGATATACTAGATTGAATTTTATTTTTAAATTAATATTATTAAAAAGAGTTTCTGTGCTCACAGTCTAAGTCATGTGCCTGAAATAACAATATTAATGGTAATTAATGGTCATAGAGATGATTAAGATGATCACTAGTGTCTTTGCAAATTTGTGAAGACATTTTTTTTGCTCCATGACACCTACAAAGTTATGTAGCCTGTGTTTGTTACATCTAGAATGACAAGTGTCACCATTGTCCAAGCATATATGCAGTACATGAAAACCTGAAATTAGACACTGGACTACATTTGAAGTATGTGATAACAAGCAGTTTTACTCCCTCTGCCACCAATCAGGTCATATGAACAACTTCCTGTATCTTCAATAAATGGCTTTAGTCACTGGGATTCAGGTGATGTCTGATTGTTTTCACTCCTACTTGCTACCACAGCTGCCTTTGAAATTGACAATCATTTGAGATTTTTGATGAAAGAGATTGAAAAAACTACAGAAAACCGCCACAAAAAAAGAAACACCGTTAACGATGCAACTGACCACAGCAGTCCTGTGCTGGGCTGTTATAGTGAAATTTGTCATGTTTTAGGTAAAGGTGTTTTTAATGTCTGAAAAACAATTATGCAGTCATAAGTAACAAATGAAAGGAACACCTTTTTAATGAAAGTATAGCACGAAGTCACTTAAGCTTCTTGGATTTTGATCTTGTCAGGGGGTTTCAGCTGTTTGGGGTTGATGAAATTAACATCAGGTGCACTGGAGGGGCAACAATTAGACGACCCCCAAAATAGGAACGGTTTTACAGGCGGAGGCCACTGACATTTTGTCTTCTCATAGTTTCTGTTTTGTTTTTTTACCAGTTTTGCATTTTGCTAGGGTCAGTGAAACTATAGTAAGTGTGAAGTGAAACTTGGACCCTTGCACAGCTAGTCCAAATCCTCCAAGCACATCAATACGTGCCATAGCCAGAAGGTTTGTTCAAGATTATGAAGGAAATTCCAGGAGACAGCCAGAGAACTGGACAGGTCCTAACGCATCAACGGGACCATCATCTGCTTCTATATTCAAGGAGAAGCAGGATGAGCACTGGAAGAGCCCTACACAAAAATGTCTTGGATACTGACATTCACACCAGCAGGCCAATGGTGTGAATGTCTTTGACAAAACAATCAATAGCAGATTTCACGAAGGTGGCCTCGAGGCACCACAGAGCCTGAATGTGTTGGAAAACGTGAGAGCTTGAAGAATAAAAAGTGCAGAAAAAAAATGTTCTTGTATTCTGACATTTTCACTTGAAAAATATTTTCATAACTTTTTATGATATACAGTTACAGAAAAAATATTCACAAATGTGTTGATTGACGTTTTCACAAATATACTGAGAGCTGCATTCAAAGTTTACTCATATTCATTTATTTTTACTGATTACAACCACAACTCTGTGATTACAACCCGTCAAATCAGTGAATACAGTGGGGACTATTATACACGTGTTGGTTTGAACTTGGTTCATTAAAGTGTTGATAATTGTAGGTAATTGATCATAATGGGATTTTATTTGTCTATGCTGTCAGTTATGGTTCTTCGAAAGGAAATCCAAATTGGCAAAAATTGTCATAATGCTGAAGAAATAAAAATTCCTAATCCATGTGTTCCATCAATAGAATTTGAAGAAACAAAACACTATAAATTAATGTGAAGCTCCAGTAGCACTTTATAGTGTCACACTATTAAGCATTAGCCTATTAGCAAGTACTTATTTTTTTATATGTAATTAATCCTCCCTAGTATGTGGTTTTGTATACGAACACCGTGTACAGCAATCACTGACACTACATCACTGCTAGCAATAATCATAGTCATGGTCATATTCATAATAATATAGCTATATTTATAAATGGCATAATACAGTGTAATGCAATGTAAAAGGTGAATTAAGCTCTTGCTAATACCTTGATAATGCTTAGTATGACACTATTATGCATTATTATTAAGTGCTAGCAAAGTCCCCCACTCTGTCTTGAAAATGAAATTAGATTAAATTAAGATTAAAATCAGTGCACTTCCATTCAGAAACGTACGTTTGTCTTTAGGATTTACAAACTGTAACCCCTCCCCGTAAAAAACCCCAAAACACTGCAAATAGACTACTGTAGTTTCTACAGATTCAATTGAATGTTTGCTTACTTGTTAAAACAGAAAAAGATGAAATAAGCTCTTACCCATATTCAGCTATCCTCCATAATGGGTCAGCCAATCAGAACAAAACTTTGTCCAAATATCACGACGCGTACAGCGTTTATTAACATCTGTGATTTTTATCTCTTATAGTCATCTTATAAATACCACTTATTTTTATTTTCTGTCTCACTTTCATTTCATCATTATGTTTGTTTCACGTGTGACGTTTACCGTACCTTGCCGATACTTCACCGTCACCGAAAATTTCCTTTTTCTTTTGAATTGGGTTGTAACAGTTTGATATCTTAAGCCAGTTACACAGCAGTTATTCTTATCATTCTGTCTTACACACGCAGTTACCTCATGCCACTTAAAATAGTTAATTTTCAAAACTTTTTACATCAAATCTGTCAGTCATAGTTTTATAAATTGGTATAAAATTGACAACAACAAAAAAGAAAAACCTTTTTAGGTTTTCCTAAATGAAATATAATTGATTTGGTCATTACTGAACCAGTCTACCAAAGTTCCACTGAATGGAAACTGTGCTTCAGAAAACACAGCCATGAAAGTCACAGGAAGACGCTTCTGCTCAGGTGAACAGCATTAAAAATATCCAATTTAAAGGCATTTTAGGTTCGCCAGAAGGAAAAAAAAAAGTTTTGCTTACAAGGGCTCCCCACGAATTCCAATGTATACTTCATCGTTTTAGTATAACTGATAAAAGAGGTAGATATTCATCGTTTGCAGGTGAACAAAACCACAGGAATTCAAGTACAACACGAACAAGCAGGTAAAATAAGTATAGAAAATGTCACTCATTTTTTAAGTAAATATTTGAAACAGTGCTACTGTCATGAAATTCTAACAGATGTCAGTAACAGCCCATCCAATCCACACATGCAAAGAAATCAAACCATAGATGTCAAAAAATGATGTGTAAGTATTGAACATGGTTACTGAAATTTATCCAGAAGCCTTTGTTGGTGATGGCAGCTTCAAGTCGAAGAACTATGCATTGCTGGGAGTTGTGGCCCACTCTTCCCCATAAACAGTCTTTAAGCAGCAGATTCTTATCAAGAATGTCTCCGTACATTCCCCACACATCCTTCATTTACTTATGTGAAGCATGCCAGCACCCTAAGCTGAAAACACAGCCCCACACCTTGATGTTCCTGTCACCAAACTTCACCGTTGGTATAGCGTTTCTTGGATAATATGATGTTGATAATAATTTGATAATTTTCCATAATTTCCTTCGGGATTAATAAAGTATTCTGATTCTGATGATCTCTATTATGGCATCAAACAGTTCAGTTTTGGTCTCATCTGAACAGACTTTATTCTCCCAGCATTTGTTTAAAAGTTCAGCAAACTTTAAACGTATTTCAACATGCTTTTTATTCAGCAATGAAGTTACGCATGGTGAACATGGATACAGGCCATGGGGGTGGAGTGCATTCATTTTTTCTTTGAAATAACAGTACCTACTGATCCAGGTGTTTCTGTAGCTTTCTACAAGTGGTCCTTCACTGCTGGAAAACTCCTCTGATTATTCTTTTCACTCCTCTGTCTGAAATGTTGCAGGAATCACCTGGTTGTGGCTGGTTTTTGGTCAGATTATGGTCCCAACAGTGCTCACTGGAACCTTCAGTATTTTAAAACCTCCTCTGTAACCAGTGCCATCAGTATCGTTTGCAACAATAAAGTTGCTGCAGAGCATCATGAGATTCTTGTGTGACACCTTGGTAATGTTACTTTTTATAAGCCATCAGGTGGGACTGAACAAGCTCATATTAATTTGCACTGAGTGGCAGGATTGCGTTCTAATTACTGATGGATTTCAGTTGCAGTCATGACTTTCTTCACGTGTTTAACCTCTGCCCCTTTTTGTTATTATAAATAACTTTATGAACCTCTATGGTTTGATTTCTTTGCATGTGTGGATTAACTGGGTTGTTACACACATAGTAAAAATTTAAGGGTCAATAGGAACTTTAGAAATATATTTACTTGAAACATCGGTGATGTGTTTCATACTTCTTTTACCAGCTGTAAATGTGAGGTATGAAGTTAAAACCAATAAACGATATCAGCATACGTTGACTAAGAGCCGTGCAATGTGCATGTTTACTATACACGCAAGTAAGAAGAGGAAATGTCTAATGCCACACTATTCTCATAAAAAAGGAATGTTTTTCATGCTTTTAACACGTGTACAAATACGTCTATGTTCATGTGATCATCTGATAATCTGAGCTTGTTCGTTACTGTTGACTTAGACTGTTAAAAATGGCATGAACATCTGAACTACTCGTGAGCAGCCCTCAGGCAGGAATTCAACTCTTTGTGTCAAAAGTCCTTGAGTGATTTAACAGACTTGGCCAGGTTGCTGTAGAACTCCGCCATGCTGGAGGGGAAGAATGAGTCAACCACAGAGCGAGGGAGGTAGCCTCCTAGGTCGGTTTGGAAAAAAGTCAGCACCTGGGTTTTGTTGGGCTCTCTGGAAAAAACAAGGGGGAAAAAGAGAGAAACTTTTAACACACACACAAACACACACAAATGAAATGCATTGTTTAGTTACTCACCCTGAGACGGGGACACAGATGCAACCACAGGGATGGTTGAATCCTCTCACGTAGCCAGACTGGGGAGCGCAGCTCGGGTGAATTGTATTGGTAGCTTTTTGATATCACACAAAAGATACAAGCACATAACCATATGAGTCTATTTATACCGGTCCATGTGAGAATAAATCAAAGATTCATAACGTTTTTGAGAATATTAGATTGTAACAATGTAAACGTGCACTTTAACCTCATCACAATAAAAATGCTATTGCATGTCTCACGCATATGAACAGTAACCAGCATATTTTGCATCAGTTTGTTGCATTGTAGTTCCTAACGCTCCACTGATCACTGAAACTGATGGCGTCTTCAGAACAGGCTGATTAATGGCAAATGCTTCTGATAATATAGTGATTTTACCTCAGTTATTTTCTTCTATACCTTTCTCTGACGAATGTCCTATTCATTTATTTATTATGTCTGTTTTTCACCAGGACATGTCCTTCAACGCACATATTAAACAAATATGTAAGACTGCTTTCTTCCATTTGTGCAACATCTCTAAAGTTAGAAATATCCTGTCTCAGAGTGACGCTGAAAAACTAGTTCATGCATTTATTACTTCCAGGCTGGACGACTGTAATTCATTATTATCAGGAAGTCCAAAAAACTCCCTGAAAAGCCTTCAGCTAATCCAAAATGCTGCAGCAAGAGTCCTGACAGGGACTAGAAAGACAGAGCAGATTTCTCCTGTTTTGGCTTCCTGTTAAATCCAGAATTCAAAATCCTGCTCCTCACATACAAGGTCTTAAATAATCAGGCCCCATCTTATCTTAATGACCTTGTAGCACCATATAACCCCATCGCTGTCCCTGTCATGTGCTTCCTGTTTTTTGATAGTTCTGTTCTGTGCTCAGCTTCTGTCCCCGTCTCGTCTGCCTGATTATTTCCAGCTGTGTTTCCCTCCAGTCTCCCATTCCCTGATTTCTCTGTTGTGCATTTTAGTCCTCTGTCTTCGCCTGCTCGTTGTCGCGTCGTACCCTCAATATGCTGTTTTTCCTTCTGTGCTCCTTGTAGTTTCTAGCTCTGGTTTCCAGTGTCTTAGTGTATATATTTACGTTGGTATTTCTAGTTCCCTGTTTTCAGGTTGTTTTCTGTATGAAGAGTTTTACAGCCAAAATAAAGCTGCCTTCTTCAGTTCTCTCCTTCAATGTCCGTGAGTCCTGCATTTGGTCCAATCTCCTGCCTGCCACACAGCGATTCACGACAAAAACTGAATTGACTTTATGGCCAGGGAGTAGGTCAGCTGCTTTAATCATCCAGTTACAGCCAGTATTTTCAACTCCACTGTTATCATGTCTTTTACAATAAAGTCGACATTTGTGATATCACTGTCAGGGAGAAAGTGTCCCAGACTGTTCATGCGCTACATTGTGCAGGTAAAAGTCAACTGTGCATTGCACATGGACAGCACTGCTTAAAATAATAAAAAATGATTCATAAAGTTAGTTGTCTTTGCGTATACCACTCTGCTTCTTTGTCATACATCTTTACATCACCAAGTGTCGTCGTCTTTAGAACTTGGGCTGTCTGTCAGAGTGCTGTCGTACTGCTCTCACTTTACGAGCGTACTGGTGTATACGGCTGCAGCAGCCCAAACGGCACACACACTGCTCCTGGCTGCTCCTCCTAAGGCTGTTTTATGCTCACCGTGTTGCTTGTGTCACATGGCGATTTTCACATCACATCCTGCGTTGCAAGACATCATTTTTGTGGCACGTTGGCCGGTCTTGCACCATTTATTTATTTATTTTTTTGCAGCCTGGTGCGTTGAAGAGAAGTGTACGATCATGCAGGTTTTTTTAACCACCGTTTTCAGAGATACACTGACACACAGAGGAAGATGTTGCAACCATTTACAAATTTGAGTTTGTGGAAGGAACTTTGCAAAAAGCAACCACTTGACAAAGTCCTGGCTTCTGGTTTTGACTTCTTCTCGACTTTATCAGCAAGTATGATGCAATATTATCTGAGTGGCGATACCTATCATTTAGGAGAAAACTGCAGCGTCTTCTTGTGCCTTATCGGCAGGTATAAATGACTGCATCTGTGTGATGACTGTGGGGCGGCGAGCGAACCAACCACTGCAGAGGGTATATGGGCACCTTAAAGGCCACAGTATACTCGCTGTAATGGTCGTGTTGCCCTCTGCCGAAACCTCATTTCACAGACACTTGTATTTATACCCACCATTACGCTGCAGAAAGCTGCTGCGGTATATAACAATATAGGTATAACCATAAGTGTCGCTACTCAGACAGTATCACCACATAAGCTTTGATATGTTGTTATGGCCGAGGCTCGGGCCTCCATCTGTGTATCTGTACGTCTCTGAGCTTCTTTGCTAAAATGTAACTAAAATGGTGCAAAAAACCCTTCAAGATCAATCACTCGTTTCTTCAACCCAGCTTACAAAAACTGAGAGGTGGACGACATGTTGAGTGGCACCGTAAACTGTGTGCCTCAAACTAACCTGACTTGGCTCTGACTCTAACCACATGATTGGGTCAGCACGGTGCTGAAGCAGCCAACGCTGTTCGTTTCTGTGCAAGTTTACAGGCGATCAGATAATTATTTCTCCCACGATTTATCCCAATCATCATAACATCTCAAAGAGCCATGGAAGTAAAAACGGTGCTTAAGTGCGCATCACAATCAACCTTAGAGAGTAAAAAAAGACAGAAGTACAAGAAGAGTGAGAGACAAACATTGAGTCATTACGCACCATTTGAAGAAATGCTGCCATCTTCGTATTGCTTAATTAAAATAACATCTACAAAGTCTCGTGGTGCTATGATGCCCATAGCTGCAGAGGGCGTGACTGTTCGGCAGATCGAGATGTCCTGCACAAGAGTGGACGACAAGGGGACGTACTCAATAAAGCTTAACAAAGAACAAATATGATCCACATTTTGATATCAGTTCATCCAGAAAGTATTCGCAGTGTTTATCATGTTTATCATGGTTCAACCTTATTCCAAAATGAATTAAAGTATTTTTTACCCCTAACCTCCACACACAACATCCTATAATGACAAAGTCAAAAAGTTTGCTTGAAATTATTGCAAATTTACTCAACCCTCTGTTTGCCAACCCTGCTCCATCTGAGATGTTAAGTCTAATTGTTGAATGTTGCCATTGTGTTTCTTAAATTTGTACAGTCTTAGTTCAAGCAGTAGGATCAAAGCTTTGATCCTGACCACCTCTCCAACCACTCTGTGCTGGGGGAGGTTTTATTGTAGATACATCCTATCTGAAAGATCTGTTTCTTTTGATGTAAACTTCCTGGGTTTACGACCCTTTGGTCAGCAGGAGGTCTCACGCACACACACACACACACTCTTACACAAGTCCACACATATACATAAAATGCTTTGTCTTAGAACCAAGGGGGCGTGGCTTTGTTCTGATGTGTTTTGTGTGAACTGTCTCCCAATAAAAGGTAGCAGGAGGTGGTCAGATCTGGGGGTCACTTTCGTGGTGGACACAGACGAGGCCTCCCTTGTGCAAATAATCGATCGATCGACTGTCTTGTTTTCTTCATGATGAATAAGTCTCTAGAATTAGCGGGACTTGTGGAAACACAGACCCAACATGAACATTTGCCAGTGTTCCTATGCTCAAGCATTCCTCTCAGTCACACCAGTTATCAGTAGCTCTCCTCTAAATCCGTGCACCTGGTAACCAACTGGATTAGGATACAGTGGTCTGGAAAAGTAGGCCCCGAATAGAGCAACCTGTAAGAAGCAGTTAACTATGAGTAAAATCACATACACCTTTGGATTCTGTGTTTGATTCTGTAATTTTTGACTAAAATGAAAGATGATTCACTAATAGCAAACTGACACACAGATAAACTCTGTATCACCTGTAGACATTAAGCACTTTTACCCTCTCTCAGATGTAATGAGAGGTAAACCAGGAGCACTTCAATATCTTTCAGTCCCACCTGTCTCTTGACGGTTGACCAGGTGATGAGCGTGCCATGTTTCCTCCAGATATGACATTTAGCATTCAGACCAAAGAGTTAAATCTTTGTTTCATCGTATCAGAGAATCTTGTTTCTCTAATCCGAGTCTTTCAGGTGCCTTTTGGCAAACTCCAGCTGTCATATGCCTTTTACAAACAAGTGGCTTTCATTCTCTCTCCACATAGCAATGCTGGAGAGTGAGTGGACTGTCACCTCCTTGACTAAGGATCAGATTGCTCTAGGAAGATAACTGGTGGTCCCAAAGTTCTTCCATGTACAGATGATGAAGATCACTGTGCTCACTGGGACTTTCAATGCTGCAGATTTCTTCCTGTACGCTTCTCCAGATCTGTGCCTTCATACAATCCTGTCTTGAAGGTCTACAGACAATTCCTTGGATTTTATGACTCGGTTTGTGCTCTGACATAGACTGCCAGAGGATCTTAGATAGATGTGTTCGTTTCCAAATCACGTCCAATTAACTGAACATGTCACAGGTGGAGATCTAAAAAATGATCAGTGAGAACAGGATGCACCCGAGCTCAGTTGTACCTGTCACGGCAAAGACTGTTAAGTTACTTTTGTTTTTCTATTTTTAATAAACTTGCAAGAATTTCAAGCCAACATTTATATTTTATTTTCTTTTACATTTCATCATTATGGGGTGTTGTGTGTAGAACTCTGAGGTGAAAAATACATTTAACCCATTGTGGAGTGCGGCTGTAATGTGAGCAAATGTGGAACAAGTGAAGCGCATAAGCACTTAAAACTGCACCAGGCAAGAATTTCATTTTAAAATAAAGTAAGTGACTTTTCCTAATTGGTCCAATTTATCAGTTTTCATTAACAGACAAACACGTAACCATGGCAAGAGATGTGAGAAGTGCTTTCATTCATACTACTTATTAATAGATGCTGGTTAATATAAGATTTCCAAATAGTTTTGAGGAAAGCAAAAACAAAACAAAACACAAAAAACTGATGCAGCTTTAAATAAAATTAAAAATTGAATGACTTGATGGAACTTTAAAGAATGTGAGGGGAAAACTACAGTGGGGCAAAAAATGATTTGATCCCAACTGCATTTATAAGTTTATTCACAAAGAAATGAACAGTTCCTAATTTTTCTGGTGGTTTCATTTTAATGAAGAGAGACAGAATAGTTACTCAGAAATGCAGAGAAACAACACATTACATAAAAGTTGGAAACTGATCTGCTTGTTATTGAGGGGAAAAAGTATTTGATCCAAGCAAACACAACTTTGTAGTGAAACTCTTCCTGGTTGCCAGGTTTGCATGCATCTCAGGACGGGCTTTGGCCCACTCCTCTAGAAACTCTCTAAATTTGAAGTTTCAACTCGTTCCAGACTTTCTATATGAAAACGGGTCTGGAGACTGGCTGAGCCAATCTATGACCAAGTGCGTTTTGTGTTAAGTCGCTCCTTTATTGCCATTGCAGTATGTTTTGGATCACCGTCATTCTGGATGACTCATTTTATGGTACACAGACCTGTCCATTGGCCCCTCAATACAGTCAAACTGTCCTGTACCCTTAGCAGAAAAACAGTCCCAAAGCATAATGCGAACAATGCTGTTCTTGATGTCATGGTCCCCTAATCTGTCTTAATCATTAACAAGTTTCTCCCATGTAGCTGTGAACTGGTCCAGCACCTTTCTCATGATTTACCCATGAGGCAAGATCTTGCATGGACTCCCGACTAAGAGAGACTTGTTGTCATTTTATATTTCTTCCATTTCCAAATATTTGCACCAACAGGTGTCATTTTCATTGATCTCATCAACACGTTGAGATCAGTAGTATGTTGTTGGATGACTAATCTGTGGGAGACTGAATTCTGATTGATCAAATACTTATCTCAGTGAAATTCAAAGGCATGCAAATCAATTTATAACCTTTATGTGATGTGTTTTTCTGGATTTTTGGTTGATATTCAGTCTCTTGTTATTAAAGAAAACTACTGTAAATTGAAAAAAAAAACATTTGTTTTTGTGCAAACTTCAGCTTGGGATCAAATAAGTATTTCCCCCAGTGTACATGAAAACTCTATGGTTAAATAAATAATAATAATGAAAATAATCACAAAACATTGTTTGAACAGAAAGGAGACAAAAAAATAACACACCTCTGTAATTTGTTCCAGAACCTCAAACCTTTTGACATTGTTGTCCCATTTGACTCTGAGTCCATTGGGCACCGGTTTAAGACATTCCCACACTTTTTCAGGAGTGCCGTTGACAATCCCGTCACCCTTATAACTGCCAGTGTAATCAGATAATGGCACAGTGAGGAGAGAAGATTATGAAGGCAGGACTACCACACTGTTGTATAAGAAAACAATTTGACCTACGCACACAGATAACAGAAGCAAAACATTCTGTTAGAAATGCCACTTGCAAAAACATTCGCATGCAGGTGATGCACTGAGCATTATTAAAGCTCTGCATTTAAGTATGTAAAGTGGACTCACTAGCTTTTCTGAAAACTGCAATGGCTCCAAACTGATTCCTTTAAATAGGAGCTATGAAATGATCAATTTAAAAAAAAGATATCTAATTAGAGAGCAGCCCATTTTTACCCTCAGTGTCTTTCCTGAGTGCAGTTTTTCCTCCCACTGTAACCAGTTTCTGGCTTAAAGAGGATTATTGGATCATTTTGTAGGGTCTTTACTTTATGTTGTAAAGAACATTGAAACAACTGTTGTTGTACACTTGTGCTACACGAATAAAAGAACTCAGCATAATAATACACTCTGATTTATGCAATGCAGTTCAGCTATATGCCAATTTTTAGGTTCATATCGTCATCAGACATTAGGATAAGTAATAATGATCTGCTGTAACTTTACAAGCTTTCATTATGAGGCCAGTGTAATGAAATAATTTATATTCTACACATATTTAAGCTCCTAAGAGCCAAACTCTTTCATTTCGTTTTTCATTTCTCTTTGGGACCTGATGAATGTAAAAACAAAGAATTAGATGTTTTGGCTTTTTTTAATATGTTTCTGAGAAAGATGAGATCCACATATGAGGACATTCGCTTTAAATTTCAAAAGAACAGTGGTAGTTTTATGTCCCCGTGCGTGGATATCAGGCCCCAGAGCAAAACTTTGTATTTTGGTCTAGACAACCCAAACTGTGATGTCCACATATGTGCACGCCAGGTCCTAGCTCTGCCCTCAAAAACAGACACAGATGTAAAACTTGTCTATGTAGCTGGACTTAAGAAATAAACGTGCTTTAAAAACTTGAATCACTTAACGCCATCTTGTGGCAGAACAGAATGTGACATCATTGGGTTTGTTGGCTGGTTGCAGTCAACAGACTTGCACTGGTTTCTGTTAGCTAACTAGTAACATAACTGATAACTTGGTGGAAAATAAGAACACTAAAACTAAAAATCAGTCCCAGAGGGTCACTTTTGTGCTGCCCCTGGCAGTAACAAGGAGTTAGTTTTATCTTAAGAAACTGAGTATATGCTGTCCACTATCTGTGTCTCTTAACCAGTAAATGGGTTCCTTATCGTTTGGCCAGCTGCACTGAAAAGGGAATTTCCACCATGAACTGGTAGATTCCCCTTGATACCTGCACTTTAAAGTCAAGAACACACACTACTCTATTTTTTTTATCTGAGTTAAACTAGAAGTTGAATAAAATCCTCCACAGATAAATGTATGATTACAATTACTGATGAACAGAAGTGCAAAAAACCAATATTCCAGGAACCCCAACAAGCACAAACGTTTTTCTGAGGCATTTCTGCTTTGACATGTTTAAGAAGTCACTATTATCCTTATGTCTGTTTTTATTCTTGCACCTGCACAGCAATGTTTTCTCCAGAAAAGCACTAATCTGTATATTTGATGCGTGCTTAATACTTCAGGAAACCAATAGTGCAAAAGAAGTGAAAAAAGGACAGATTCCTCACAGATTCCCCGGGAACTCAGACGAGGGTCGCCACGACACAATGACATCGTTCTGCCAAAGAAAACGGAACAATAACTGTGAACAGCATTTGGTTATACTGGACCGTGTCAGGTCTGTTGAAAACCTATGCAGAGAAATTTGCATGAAAAGAGTTACACATGTATATGATACACAAGTGTGTAAGATTTACAAATGTGCACAGTGATTTGTGTGTGACCTTTGGGTACACACAAATGTGTGCTTCAATTCACATACAAAAAAAAACAATTTTACAAATGTGTCCATCCAAACTTGATGCACACATTTAAAATAAACAGCGATCATCTGTGTGCAACTTTTTTAATTGGAGTTGCACAAATCGAATCATTTTTCTTTTTAAAAGCTTCTTGTGCATACATGTGTCTAAAATACATGAGATCCACAAATGTATGTTATGTTCAAGTCCCATAGGAAAACTGTGACATCTGGGCTTCCACTCTGTTCCCGTTTCATTTTCTAAATAAACAGACCAGTTCATCAACCCTCTATTAGAAAACATAGATTTACAAGTTACAAACCCCACAAATACATTAACCTCTAAAGGTTAATGTTCTTCAGTCAGCGCGTAGCTGCAGATGGGGGAACACTACGGTTGAATATCCCTGTGGCTCATCCTCTGAACTAGGTATATGCAAACGAATCTCTGTATATTTGAATATGGATAAACCAGGTAGTGTGGAACACTTTGATGTTGATCCTACTCTTCTTGGATAACAGCAGGCTAACACTGATATCAGCTTAATAACTAATGATGAAGTTTGTCATCTGAATTCATCACTAAGTTAAACGTTTTCTGCTCTCAGCTAGCATCAGCTTAAATAAACCCTGCAGATGATGATGAATTTCTACCAGTAGACTTACCCACCAGAGACTGCTAGCAATCTGCCAGGTCTCTCCTAGCAGAGAGATTTACCTCAGTGTTACAAATGCATACATGTAAGATTTACGCATGATAAATGGACTGGTTCTTATGTAGCATGTTTTCTCTTTTTTTCTATATTTAACAACTTTCTATCTAACATTCACGCACATTCACACATCGATGTGCATCAGAGAATTTGGGGTTAGCATCTTGTCCAAGGATATTTGGCATGCACCTTGGAGCAGCCAGGTATCGAACTGCCAAGCTTTCGATTAACAGATGACCTGCTCCTGACCTATAGTCATGTACTGTACAGTGTACAGTGATTTCTGTCTAACTTTTGAGGACTCACAAATTCCAATCCACATACAAATACAAAGCAATTTGACAGATGTGTAAATCCAAACCTGAATTGTGATCATTTAACCTCAATTTTTAACTTTTATACAAATGTCTAAAAATAGAAGTAACAACTCACTTACAAAACCTTAAATGGATGTGCATGAATCGCCTGCTACTAGGAAACCATGACATCTGGACTTCCTCTGTATTCCTGTTTTTTTCTTTTGAATTTTTGTTAAATAAAGTAGAATGTCACCGCCTGCCAGAAAACAGAATTCATTTTGATTCGGCAGGCTCCTAACTGAGAGATGTGACCTGGAAGTATCTGTGTGGCAGCCATTATAAGAGCTGTTCCAATTTTCCAAATAATAAAGAAAGGAGTTTCAATGCTTCCATTAGCAGAGGGTACACTGGACCATCCTTTATGAAAAGGTGGGCGAGAACAGTGTCCCATAATTCATTGCAACAGACATAATAAACAATTGCTCAGATCACGGAAGTCATAGCATAAATTCCTGATATATTTAGAGTTTTTAACAACAGTTTGTTAAAGTCACAGCTGAACTCTGAACATCACGTTGGTGGAATAAAAACTGCTTGTTGAGTTGTTTCTCCATCAGCTGAAGATTATGATTTACATTCACTGATAAAAATGTGCTTAACGTTCTGTATAATCAGTGTTCATTGGTAACGCACTTTAATGTAGTTTTAGTCTTAGGATTTATTTTTTACTTCAGTACAAGTCAGCTGGGATCAGTGATGGATGGAGGGGATTTTACTGCAGTTACAGAAACTCTTAGCAGGGAGGAGGAAAGAAGTTCCACTAAATGACAAAAGAAAAATATGAGAAAATAAGATTGATCTCATTTTATAGATATGGGACAGATTTACTATGTGAGGCAAATTACTGTCATGTCGCAATTGCAGGATGATCTAACAATGCACTGTAACTTCTGTACAGAGATGCAGGTAGTTCACTTCAGTGAAAACCAGCATTGTGACGGGAGAATGTGAATTAGAGACTCAAAAATTCAATGCAAACTAAATTGCGTCTCTGAGAACAGCGAGGCAATTCAGATAAATGAGGCTGAAGGAGAATCGATATAAGAAATAAAATTCACAGAGTACTGTGCAAAGGGTTCAGAGGATTGGGACTCAGTACAGATTTATCCAGAGGAGAGCTGCAGTAGGAACGCTTCCATACTATAAACCTACCTGTGTGAACAGCTGACCTGTACGAGTACGGAAAGTCCGGACTCCGGTACTGACAAACCACCAATATGTATTCTAGTCAGTAGTAAAACACACGTTTTACTTCTCTGTGGTGAATGAGTGGGATGCAAAATGTTATTAGCGAAGCTTTCAAGTTAGAAATCCCAAACTAACGTTTGTGAACTTTGAACTACCGACGCGGGCCACGTCAGTTAACCCACTAGACCAGAGAACAGCATGTATCTGGAAAACGTAGGGAAATAGTGTTGAGCTCATATGAGGATGTAAGAAACATTTACCGATTTCTTGCAGACTTTCCATCCAGACTCATCCTTCCTGTAGCTCATCAAGCAGTCGGCCACTGCTTTCGCTTTATGTTCAAAATCCATTTTTGGGAATAACAATTAATGTTGCTCACCTAATCCAAACGAGACTGATTAAATAGCTGACGGGAAACACAAAACTGAAGTCACGCTGGATCTTAACAATACAAGTCAGGTCCAGCGGCTAAAAGTACCTAACGAAGGCTAGAAACGCAAACCCTGGTCAGGTTAGTGTGGACCACCGCTACAAAGCTAGCGTTAGCCAGAATGAATGAGACGAGCTGCGCAGCGGCCGCATCGCGGAGCAACTATCTTCCATTGGCTTAGGGTGGTGTGACTTTTGTCCCTGCCTGATTCAAAGCATCAAAATTGTAATTTTGCACAATTAATTTCCCCAAAGTACAAACAAAGCACCGGAATCAGTTACTGAGATATCGCGTCATCAAAAACAATAAACTTCCGGTAGCTTTCAAAACAAAACACCTTTAAACCTTATTTAATTACTTTTCATTCATTCATTAAACGTTAACAAATAGATTTCAGTGAACTTTTAGAAAACGTGATTCCAGTATTCCCATGATAAAAAGCCCAGTGGCTTTTAATAAAGTGATATACTTTTGATTTAGGGAGAGCAAGCTCACATCTATCATATTTTGAAGTCCCTCAGTCCTCATAGAAATTTCTCCAGCTTCACACGCACCCGTGAACACCCTCTTCCGGGATACAATTTTATCTATCCATCTATAATAAAAGGCAACCAAATGTAATTATTTAAGTTGTTTATGTTTTTATTGCTAATGTTACACAAGTAGACACATTCTTCTATTGTTCTTTGCACTTCCACAATAGCTAGTGCAATTATTTAACAGCATCAAAAGGATATGGAATCACACAAACACAGAAAGGAAATGACATTTTTGTGTGCTTTCAGTGCAGAGTGTCAGTTAATGCCTAATGCTACATATATTATTTAACAGAAACCAACATTTCAAACATTGGAGCAGACCAGATCATTTGATTCAGTGATTTTTAGATCAAAGCTGGTTTTGGATTTCTTTTTGGCCATTTGTCCTTGCCTGGCTCCAGACTTCAAATAGCGCTCCTTGTTGTGGATAACCTGAATATACTGGTCATTGCTGCTATTCTGCTGGTCACTGCTAGAGGCCAGGGAAGCTGAGTCTGACTCAGTCTGCACATTCTCCAGCTTTTGCTTTGTCTTGGACTTCACATGAGGCTCAACATGTCTGGCCCGAGTTTGAGACAGATACTGTCTTCTCGGGGAATGAATGTGACATCTGGTTTGCAGAAGAAGAGGGTCAACTACTCTCACATTAGCCTGTGACTCAGAGTGTGACTCTTCATCTCCACAGGCTATTTCTCCTACTCCATTCTCCTCTTCATCTACGTCTTGAGCCCCATATCTTCCTTGAGCTGTGTGGTTTTCTTTAGATATAGTTATGTAGGTTTCTAGACGGTCACCAATGTAGAAATGTGCTGGCTGTTGGAGGTTAGACGGTGAGCGGGCCCGATGAGTTTTCCCTAGTGACATCTTTCTCCTGCCTTTCCCTTGGTCTTCCTCCTCATCCTCTTCACTTGGATGTTGCTGTGATGCGTGGGACTGGTAAGGACGTGGTTTACTGTGAGCATTGCGTGGTGTGTAGCGTCTGACATTACGTGGGTACAGTTCCATGATCTCTGTGGGTTCCTCCATGAAATAATGGCGTGGGATCCGTGTGGCTGAGCGCAGCAACTTTTTCCTGGGTTCATGCTCATTGACAATCACATAGCGGGTGGTGTGACCACGGCGTCCTCTATAACTCTGTGCAGTAATGATCCCAGCAGCTTCAACTGGATGAACAGAATGTACAGTCTTCCTGCACAAGGGGTCAGAGTGAATGCTGTCAGAACAGTGAGGTGGAGAATTGTATACCATGTGATGGTAGGACTTGGATCTGCAGGTACCACTAGGACCACCAAGAAAAGGTGGAGGCCTATAATGAAAAAGGACAACAATAACAATCAGCTTTTGTGTTACAGCAGATTACATTTCGTTGTTTTCCATGGATTACAAATGTCAGTGCTCTCCACAGAACACTAGTGTTGTCGAACAGGGGAAAATGATACTGTCTTTACATATCTCTGCCCCCTGATAAAATGCTGATTAAGGATTATTTAGCTGCAAATTGGGGCTGAACGTTTAATCCTTGTTATATCAAAATCAAGAGGCACTTGATTGGCAGCCGTTTGTAGTCAATGATTGACTAAAGCCTGGAACCCATGGACGATCAGTTTGGCAGCATTTCGTCGAATCTGCGTAGTATAACTCGGTTCCCTTTGCCACAATACAAACTTTGTCTCTACCATGTTTGACAGATAATTTAGCATGTTGTGGATCACGAGCTGTTCCTTTTCTCTGCCACACATTTCTCTTCTCGTCATTTTGGTACTAGTTAATCTTGTTCATCTGTCAAACTTTTTTTTTTTCAGAAATATGTTCACTCTGTTAGATGTTTTCTGGAGAAGTCCTGGCCCTCTTGTTCTGGTGTAACCAGTGGCTTGCACCTTGTTGTAAACCCTCTTTAATTTTGGTGTCTCTTGCCTTGAGAGTGTTCTTGACTTAGCTAGACGTTATGCTTTTGTTTTTCTAAACCATGGAAATCATTTTGTCATTGTTCACTTTCATTGTCTTCCTGTGGCCTTTCAAGTTTCTTGGTGTTGTGAGTGCCTTCATTCTTATTTGATTGTACCAAAGTGTTGATTTGACCACCCCTAAACTTTTGGAGTTCTTTATAATATTTGTATTTTGTTTTATCGGCCCAGTGATAGTCTCCTGTCTTTGGCCCTCATATTTAAAATACAGTTAAAAGCTTTGAAATAATTTGAAATTCACTACTATGGTGTACAGAGGCAAAACTATAAAAGAATTGTGTCAATGTCCAAATACTTTGGGGCCTGATATATACATATTATTAATAGTATCTCTATATACATGTTAATAAGCTGACTTTAGGGGATGTGGAAGAGGCAGAGACACATACTAGCAGGATGCCATAGTCATGACTTAATGTTTTATGTCTTTGCATGAAAAAGTATAGACCTATTTTTTTAGATTATAGTGAAATCTATACAGATTACAGATTTACATAATGGGCAGCATGAGAGAAGTTCACTTCTGAAATGTCATAAGTTAGAAATAACAGTTAATCTTTTAAATATGTATAAAAGAAACTATTTGAATTGCTTGATCATTTTTAATTTACGTTTTTTTCGTTACCAATATCTTAAAGTGGACATCAAAAAGAAACTTTCTCAACAGGCTGTATATGTTTTACCAGGTTTGACCAAGTCTGAGTTCTTCCATTGGCAAACTAGACTGAGACTTTATCAAAACATATCATTAGGCATCGCTCCTGGCTATAATTTCATAGTGAATATATGATACAGGAAATTTATAACACAGTTTCACTATATTCAGCCTTTAAGAGGTCCCCTAAAGTAAACCTGACTGGTTAAAGCAACATGTCAGTGTGTGAGACCTGTTAGGAATGTGCTCCAGCCAATGTTTGGGCAGTACGGTTACTGCTGGACTTCTGATAGATCCGGCCACACCTCCTCTGTTCAGGTCTCCTCTAGATACTGATTTCGTGATGGTGCGGATGCAATTCCCACGATGAACAGGGGATTCAAAGTTTGTGGTGCTGCTATTCTGACAGGGAGATGGGGTGTGGTTAGAGGACTCTTGGCTGGCGATGTTGTTTTCCTCATGATCTGACTTTTTGTCTGCAGCAGCCTCTGGAATCTGTAGTCTCGCTGTAGAAGAGCGATACAGTGGTGTGAAAAAGTGTCTGCCCTTCCTGATTTTGTATGTTTGTCACACTAAAATGTTTCAAATCATCACACAAATTTAAAAATTAGACAAAGATAACACAAGTAAACACAAAATGCAGTTTCTAAATGAAGGTGTTTATTATTAAGGGTAAAAAAATATCCATACCTGTATGGCCCTGTGTGAAAAAGTTAAGCCCTTAACCTAATAATGGGTTGGGCCAGCAGTCAGCTGGGCCTTTATTGATGCCTCGGGACTTGCTGTGATAAATGGAACCATGATTTCTGCAAGTTTTGAAAAGTCCAGCAGCGAGTCCATGGCGTAGAACAGCGGTGTCCAACTCCAGACCTCAAGGGCCGGTGTCCTGCAGGTTTTAGATGTGTCCTTAATCCAACGCAGCTGATTTGAATGGCTAGATTACCTCCTCAACATGTCTTTGGCTGTATCCCAATCCAGGGTCTGCAGCCTTAAAGGCCGCATTTTAAGGCCGATTACGTCACAGCAACGCGACGAAGGCTGTCCCAATTCAAAGGCTGCTCGAAATGCGGCCCTCAAATGCGTCCTTCATTTCACTGAATGTTAAGGATGTGGCGGTGCAGACTTTGTGGCCCAACATATCCCAGACTGCATAGCGCGGCGGTGTGTGGATAATTTTGCCAGAAAAAGAGGGCCGGCCGAAGAGTAAACTTTCAAAAATAAGTACTGAATATTATGTCACTTATTTATGTGCGAGTGTTTAATAACGAAGAACATGAAAACATTACTGTTGGCCACATGTCGGCAAAGTTATGTGACATTAGTGACGTTTGGGCAGGGATAGCTCAGTAGGTAGAGTGGTGGCCCCATGATCGGAAGGTCGGGGGTTCGACTCCACTGAACGGCTACCCTGAGGTACCCCTGAGCAAGGTACCGTCCCTACACACTGCTCCCCGAGCGCTGCACTGGTGGCTGCCCACTGCTTCACTGGGTGAATGGGTTAAATGCAGAGGAACTATTTCCTTATGGGGGACTAACACGCACACTTTACTTTACACTTTGTACTAACTTGGTTTTAAAGCCTTTACTTTAAAATAAACGCCGTTCAATAGCTGAGCTTAATCTCACAGAGAATGTGATGATTCTATGGATATTTAAAGTCAGCACTGAGACAAATTTAGTAATGCCAACATATTAAAAGAACAATATTTGTCTCTCATATATATAACACAGTTATATATACAGTGTCAAAGAAACCTGTCTTTGAGTGAAGATTTAAGGTGACAGGAAATATAAATGATATAAATAAATGCAGCTTGAATCTTTACTGAAGCTCAGTATTTGAAACAGAGTCATTCACTGCTGTAATAACTAATAATGATTAAGATAATAACTATCATATTGGCCATATTATATTTACATTACCAAAGTAAGATGACTTTAGTCTCATGAACAACATGAGCTAATTGTTATTTACTAACTAATCTTAAAATGACTGTTCAGTACAAAAATGAAGCCCAACAATCATGTTTTACAGTCGTGTGGTCTCAGCCTCAGATACTTATCACATCACACAAAGCTCATGTAGAAACAAATGAACAAAATATGTTCTACTCCGTTTCTGTCAAAC